AGAGATGAGGGGCGGGGCGAGTTCTGCGCCGGAATTGGCTCGCAGATAGTAAATAAGCCCCAAAAGACGAGAAAGACGCTGTCTCCATCTTGTTGGGGCCCGCTTCTCTTACGACATTGTGAAGATGGGGAGTGTCCTGGGGCTGTGCTCCATGGCGAGTTGGGTAAGATTCATGTTTGCAGCCTCCAGAGAACTCGCTTGGGAGTAGGAAAAGAAAGGGTTCTGAGGGGGATTGAGCGAGACCCGGTTCAGACCCCACCCAACGAGGAGTGCTTTCTATCCCCATTTTCTCTTTATCTCTTGGTTACTTCGAGTCGGCATCGGGGCCCTGGGACATGCGAAAAATTGGCCAGGGTAGCCGTGAGGTGCAGTGGTGGTGGGGAGAGGAGCCCGATGGAAGGGGTGAAGGGAGCTGGCAACCCCTCCCCCACCCTTCGTGGGAGACGCTCCCCTTCTTACAGGCCCCTGTTTTTTTTTTCTCCTCTGACTAGGCCATCTCTGCAATGATTATCTGCCACTTCTTCTGTGGGGTAACTTATCTCTTCGCTTCACCTCTTTCTATCGGCCTTAGACTGCAGCACTGTCATCCCTGCAGGCCTATCGGCCTCTTTGTTCTGTCTTGCAGGGTACGATTAAATGCCAGCAGTTGCGACTTAAATTTATTCGTTATTTGGTACAGCCTGGCAGTAATACTGATGTAGTAATACAATTTTGAAACAAATAATTCTATCTCCGCGGTTGAGTTCTCTGCTGTATTGAGAAGATTATTATACTTCCCAACTAATATTTTGTGTCCTTGGAAAAAGGTGATCAATTTATGTGGTTTTAAGTGGTATGTTTTGACATAAAACATGCTTGTGAAATGTCAGATTGCATACGTATTGATTAAATAGAGTTAAAGTGAAAGGATTTTTATTATAGTGGTAAGATACTGATTTGGGTGGGACAAATAAACCAATTTATTTAAGATAACCACTCCCCCTTCCATTCGAGTTAATATATATTTGTAATTTGAGGCAAGTTATTTGTGTTCGAATCGTATTTTTTTAGTCTGATTTCTGAATTCCACATGTAACAGTTGCTTTTCTGACTTCCCAAATCCTTTATATATTTTAACTACCATATTGATTATTTAACATATCCCCCCTTTGTAAAAAAAGATTTTGATAAGACTTAAATTATAATTTGAACTAATTTGTACATAATTCTTAATGTTAAAATTTAATGAAGCAATACGTATAGGTTCTTATTCTAACCCCAGGCCATTTTCTTCATTATATTTTTTCTCTTGCAGCTGGGCATGGAAACCTGATATATTTTTATCTTAATAAAATATTAGTCCATCTACTTGAGTGGAACATATAGGTCAAGATGACTGCTAATTGAAAGCTTTTACAAAAGAGGCATCGTTAGTGTAATAATCATAAAAGTATTACAACATAGTAAATGATCATCATAAGATTTTTCTCATTTTTCTGGAAGACGTGTAATTTGATTTTTAATGTCAAGATTTTGTCCACTAATCAAGTGGACGTGCTGTAGTTTTTTGTATGTCGTAGAGATTTATGAGGAGGAATATGTAAGAACAATAACAAGGCATCTGACTGCTGACCAGAAGGTTGGTAGTTCAAACCCACCACCCAATCTGCAGAAGCAAGACTGGGCAATTTACATCTATAAACATTTACCACCTTGGAAACCTAATGGGGGTCGCTATGAGTTGGAATTGACTCATTGGCAGTGGGTTTGTTTTTTTGTTTTTGGGTGATGCAAACAGTTAACAAGCTCAGCTATGAACTGAAAGATTGGCAGCTTGTGTCCACCCAGCAATGCCTTGCAAGAAATGCCTGATGATCTTGGGGGGCCGGTCAGCTATTGAAAACCCTGTGGAACATAGTTCTACTCTGACACGCGTGGGGTCACTGTGAGTCAAAAAGAACTGATTTTTAGTAACAACGATGAGACTTCTTCCAATAATTAGGCCTCTGGCAGATAGAAAGGCTAGGAGTCCAAGGTTGCTCGTGATTGCTCTAGAATGTTATGTCTGGGCTAGAATTTGATTTCATAGTATGCCATTTGGGTCATCTTTTTTTCCTTTCCTTTCTTGTT